GTGAAGTTCTGCCAAAGCAGAGCAGGAGAGAGAGCGAATCGGGGGAAGCTCTCGAGCACGAGTCGAGCCAATCCAGCGAGCCCCACATCATCAAGGGAGTCCCCGAAATGTTTTCCCTTGCTCAGCTTGATCTAAATCCAACGCCATGGGTGAATCCCATTCGAGCAAAAACTTCTCTGAAGTTGACCACTAAAGAAGAAAAATCGGGTGAATGGGTTAGCGCCCTCGGAGATGCTTCCATTCAATCGACTACTGCGAAATCATTAAGTGGTATTCCAGGATGCTCTCAGATCAGTCCAATTAACCTGGGGATGTCTAGATCAAAAACGCCCAAATTGGGATTGGGAGTTCTGGGTTCTACATATTTGAAACCCGAAAGTGGCGGGAAGGGACGAATCGCCAAATCAACGACGATGATGATGCGTCGAGGAGTGTTGTCGGCTCAGGAAGATCATTTGGACCTTGGGAAAGCTTATGGAACCCACGAATTGGACTGGGAGTGTCTCCATCAAAAAGCCCCAATTCTGTTACTCAATAATACTACCCTGATTTTGCAGAAATTGGAGCTTGAGCAGCCGAGTTTCGACCCCATTTGGACCCGATTCTGTGACGATTTTGAGAAGCGGAAAGAGCCAGCTTTGAGGACAAAGCTTTTTGAAGAGGGAGGGCCTGATATGATCCTGATTAGCTCCATAAACAATCCAGAATGGAGTCGACAAGGAGCTATATCGTCAAGCCAAAAGGACCCTAAATATTGGCTAAGTGTTCTCCCTGTTTCGGGTTACCTAGTTGGCAAGCTTGGTCGTTCGAAATGGCTCGATAGAATTCCAAAGGAAGGATCCAGAATGAAATTTAAAGTGTTCTTCTATGATTCCCAAGGCTTGAAAGGGCCATCACAAGAGTTCAAGGTCGTTTTTCTGGTCTCTCTACTTGTTATGGCAGAACCGAGAAACTGGCCAGAATTGGCCAAGTCTGGAAGACAGTTCGAGAGGGCTACTTTGAATAGCCACTCGAGATGGAAGGAGGAGAATCAAGCTTCAAGGTTTGTGCCACACGAAAGCGGACGTTTCCTACTCCAGCCTGAAGGAATTGGTTGAGCACATACACACCGGGAAGGCCTCGATCGAGCGAGCAGAAGATCGAAGGAAGCCTCGTTTTGGAGGACTGCTGCTCAGCAAATCCGAATCTGTTTCGGATTGGAATTACGTGTTCTTTTTGGTTTTGACTTCCGTTTTGTGTGTTCTAGAACAATTAGGTTTTCCCTTTGAATTGTATGCATAGATAGGTCTATTTAACACTCGTTTTCAAGGATTGTAAGGCAGATTTTGAGAATTAGAATTCCAGTTTGGATTTTTGTTCATTAAGCTTTTGTGCTTGTGAATTGGTTGAATTGCTTGGAGTAATCCGAGAGTTCAAGAGCTTGTATCGATCGAGTGATTCCCCGCCGATCGTGGCCAGCATCGACGTATACTCTTCGAGCCCTCTTCCACGTGTAAGACTGCACGAGAGTTCCGTTCCCACGTCAACAACCTCCGCCCCTGTTTCCCTGTTTGTGTTCGTTCATTTCTCAAGATTGAATAAGTTGCGTGAGTTCAATCACGATCCTATCACCTAGGGTCGTATTAAATTGTCACAACTGTAGAAAACATGATAGCAAGTTTATGTGTTTGAGTTGTCTTTCAAGTTTACCATCTGTCATTTACCGTAGAAGAAAATATTCATGTTCTGGGAACAATATGTGGAATTCAGTAGTAAATTTTTTCGTTTCTATTATTCTGACGGTTCCCCAGAAAGCATATGGTGCAAGCTTAGCTTCTACATGTTTAAAGACTTGTGAATATGAATATGATCTTTGCTACAAATTTGTGCCTCCCACAGTCGAATCAGATGCATGCATGATGTGAGAACAGAAGCGTGCAATCGATAATCTAAACCAACACGAACGAACAAAAATTTAATGTGGTTCACTAACACAATGTGTGCTAGCTAATCCACAGGCAGAAGAGAACAAATTTCACAAATTTGAGGAGAGTACATGTTACAAACCAAATTCCGGAACGGAAAAACCTAACAAACTAACCCGACTGACCTTGACTATAGATTAGGGTGGTGAAGAGTGTTTATAGAACTCTTCTCCTAATCCCAAATAGAAAATCAAACACCTTTTCCAAACCTACAAGGAAAATGCCAAAACAAAAGCCCAAACACAAACCCAAACAAAATAGGCCCAAAACACAAAACAAACTCAAATCAAATTCCAGTCATATTCTAACAATCTCCACCTTGACTTGAATTCTCTCTCAAATACCAAAAGTACCAGACGCAACCAAAGTTGTGAGATGTACCAAACACCTCTAAATCAGTTGTACCAGAATCTCCCCTACCTCCAAATATCCCTAAAGGCGGTCAACAACTCAAACCATTCGGCAAGTCCAATCCATATTGAGACTTGCCATTCAGAACCAACTTGGTGCACTTATCACCAACAGAATATGTCAAAACAGAACCTTTAGACCATACAAGGCACCAACCTTGACACATTTCAAAATCACCTTAGAACCCTTGTTGACAGACAAGACCCCACCTTTACCTTTGAAACTGAAACCCTTGTCGTCGAGTAGACTCAAAGATATCAGATTCTTAGTCATCTCTGGAATATGCCTAACATTGTTCTGTCAAAAACCAGTTGATCCCAATAACTCGAGTTGTTGTGAGAAGGTTGAGCTGGATCTTATACCACTCTCTAACACGCCCCCCTCAAACGAAAGCCAACTCACGGGCTTGAAGTTTGCAAAGGTCCACCATACCTTGTGCTTTATGTCAACTGTTAATATTTGGGGTCGTTGAGGTTCAAACACACGACCACTTGTTCAAACCAGCTCTGATACCATGTCATGAACCAGTTGGTCCCAATAACTCGAGTTGTTGGGAGAGGTTCAATCGTGGATCATATACCACAACACTAACATGTCATAAACCACTTGGTCCCAATAACTCGAGTTGTTGGGAGAGGTTCAATCGTGGATCATATACCACAACACTAACACGCCCCCTCAAACGAAAGCCACTTATAAGGGCTTGAAGTTTGCACAGGTCTGAAGACAAGAATACCATGTGCTTAACAAATGGGGGTCACCGGGAATCGAACACAAGACCTCTCGGTCACAGAAGGCTCTGATACCATGTCAAGAACCAGTTGATCCCAATAACTCGAGTTGTTGGGAGAAGGTTGAGCTGGATCTTATACCATTCTCTAACATGTTCAAGGTGCGAACAGAACCATCATGTGTCCTTATCCTGACGGAGCCTCTTCCAACAATCTTACAGATAACACCATTGGTCATAGAAACATGTCCTCCATCTATCTACTCATAAGTTGAAAAACACTCCTGTTTGGACACATATGATAATCAACTGCAGTATCTAAATACCACACATCCTGATGATGTACCTGTTCATTCACTGATAAGGCTAAACCATCTTCAGAATCAGAGTTAGTTTCTTCCGCCACAGCAGCAGATGATTCCTTCTTCTCCTGATATTTCTTTAGTTTAGGACAATCAAATTTCCAATGTCCTTTCTCCTTACAGTAATGGCAGATATCATCATCGTTCAAACCAACAAACTTTGATTTCATATTCGCCTTCCTGCTACCAGATTGTTTTCTCCTACTACTCGTAAAGCCAACATCAATATTCCGCAGATCTAACAAGATAGTATTGAGTTGATCTAGATGATTCCTGAGAGACATACCTTCCTCCATACGCAAACTGAACAAACGTTGCTTCATATGCAACTTGTTGGTTAAAGACTTTATCATGTATAGACTTTCAAGTTTCAACTTTTAACCACAAACCCGCGACATTCTTCTCAACAGAAACCTCAGTGATGATGTCATCAGCCAAACAAAGCAAGATTGTAGAGTGAGCTTTCTCCTCCAAAGTAATCCACTCTTCTTCATCTATGCTTTTCTTCTTCGATTTTTCAGACAACGAAACCCATAAACCCTGTTGTTTGAGCAGTGCTTGCATCTTGATTTGTCACAAACTGAAACTGTTTCTCCCAGTAAACTTATCAATCTTCATACTTATAGCAGTCGTCCTTAAGTTTTATAATAAAAAAAAACTAACCAAATAGCCGCAAACCCTGGCCAATTTTTTCACCCAAATAAACAAAGTTTCCTCCAAGTCAGACTTCAACTCCAAAAAACACCAAATCCAAATCTCCGCCACAAAGCAAATAATGGCCACTGCCAACCCAAAATCCAACAAAAGCTTTAGTTGCTTGCATCCTGGTGGGTGCGGCAGAATTGTGATAATTATCACAATAAATCCACCGCCAAACAAACCGCCACAATTAACCAAGCGGAGAAAGTTAATTGTGCAACGAGACAAAAAAAAATTAATTGTACCACAATCACACGAAGCTTTCTTGGATGTTCGTGCTTGCGGTCTCCAGAACAATATTGCATGGTTCGCAATTTTACCCCCTCGCAATCAGATATGTAACCAGAAGCTCCAATTCAAAATAGTACGCAATTCCTTGAAAACTCAACCGCGGCTATGATACAACTTGTAAGAACAGAAGCGCGTGCAATCGATAATATAAATCAACACGAACGAACAAAAATTTAACGTAGTTCACTAACACATTGTGTGCTAGCTAACCCACTGGCAGAGGAGAACAAATTTCACTAATTTGAGGAGAGTGGGGGTTACAAACCAAATTCAGGAACGGACAAATCAAACAAACTAACCCGACTGACCTTGACTATAGATTAGGGTGGTGAAGAGTATTTATAAAACTCTTCTCCTAATCCCAAACAGAAAACCAAACACATTTTCCAAACCTACAAGGAAAAGGCCAAACACAAACCCAAACAAAATAGACCCAAAAAACAAACCCAAATCAAATTCAAATCATATTCTAACACATGCAAACTCCTAACTCATTTCCCCTAGTTAAATATTCGCTAACTAAATTTTGAGGTACCAGTGAATATGCTCACTTTTAATCACCCTTTTAAGAGAAATGGTGTATGTGGAGATAATAGAGGGTCAAGACTCGCCATGGATTTTTCCATTGCGTCGGTCGGTTGGGGAGTGCTCCAAATTGTATTCTCTTCGGCAGCAGATGTGGATCGCATCAGGAAAGGCTCGCCATGGATTTTCCTCAATTTTGCGTTGTGTTTGACTCGCTGGGCTTCGCCTACTCAGATGCTAGCGGAATCTCTTGCGCATGCTCCGTTGAGGCTGCAGCTTTGGGGACTTCTATTCGAATGCTGCACCGAGCGGTTGGCATCTATGTTGGGCGCTGCTCTGGATCCAACGGAGCCAGCCGTGATTCACCAATATGATATCAACGACACACTCTTTCTTCGTGTTTGCGTGGTGCTTGACCTCACAACCCCACTGCCATATGAGATAACGACGTCCCACAAAGATGCTGGCAAAGGTGACTTCAACGCCCATATCAAATTTGAGCGCTTACCCCAATTATGTTTTCTTTGTGGTGTGATTGGCCATTTGAGTCAATTCTGCTCCCAGAAAGCAGAACTTGGTGATTCACCTCCTCGGTATTGCTAACATACACGTTGTTTATTTGGTTGAAGCAGTTCACCTGGATTCGACCCCAGGAGAAGACGGTTCTGTTTATGGCTGAAATTAAAGGCTTGGCGCTGATGACCGGTCAATGAAGTTCGTTGACCAAACATCGATGACCGTCAGTGAGTAGATTCCGGCGCCGATAGGCATATTCCGGCCCCGATGACTAGATTCCGACGCTGGTAAGCATATTCCAACCACGATGAGCATATTCTGGCGACAGTGAGAAAATTACGATGACAAAATAGCATATTCCAGCGACAAAAAGCATATTCCGGTGACCGCGACCAGATTTCGGCGACCGGTGGCCGAATTCCAGCGACCAAAATTTTGGGCCGAATATAAAAAATATTTTTTATTTTATATTATTATTTAAACATATTTTTCATAATGACAATTATACTCCTGCTTTGATTTTACACTTGGTCAACTCATCTAATAAAAAGTCATCACAACCCTAGCTTCCTATTGGTTGGAGAATAGTGTTGTTACAATAACAACACAAGGGGTGTTGTCATAGTAACCGGTCCCATTTGTCTTTTACTATGGATTATTTGTATGAATGGTTTATTGAGATGAGATATTTATTCATAAATAACTCAGGATATATTCTACATCTCTAACCAAAAGTTAGCAAATTATCAATTTTTAAGAGAAATTTTTTAATCATGAAATTTTTCAGTGAACTAATTGTTGGGGACATGATATGTTTTATTTGTGTATAAAATGTATCTAACTCCTGAAAATATTTAACAATTAAATAACTAATTCATAAAATTAATATAGGGTTAATATTTTTGTTTGGCCTGACCTTTTTTCCACGTGGATCAGGTGAGTAACCAACTAACCATGAGTAATCCGTCCACATCAGCATGACATCAGTATTCCTCTCTCTTCTGGAAAGCTTTTAATTTTCCCCTCCTTAATCTTTGATGAACGATTTCTCACTCGTTTTAAGTTGAAATTTAATTTTTTTTGCACAGTTAGATCAGATTAATTGTGCTCTTCAAAATGATATACACTTTGATATATTTTTGGAACAAAAAAACTGAGTCATTTTTTACCAGTCTATATCATATGGTATTGACTAGTATTGAAATAAGAGCATACCTATGGTTTGAAAAGCGTACCATGGTGGTATGAACAAACCAAGACAGTAGGATGGTTGAATACATGATAGTAGAAGTATATTAACTGTTATTTATGACATTGTGTACAATCAGATACCACCCCGTACCATGGTGGTATTGTGTGGTATTGTTTGGTCCGGTAATTTGTTCACCCAGAAATTTGTAGATCCAATAGATCATGATGAACTCGTTCCTTCTGTGCAAACGTTTTCAAAAACGAATTAAAAACAAAGAAGATACCATATGGTATGCAGTTGGTACCGAGAGCAAGGTTTTTTTCCTCAAAAAATATTGAAAATGGATCTCGTTTTGTAGAGCACAACGAACTACTCGTTCCATCTATGCAACAAAAAAAAATTGAAATCCGAGTTAAAACGAAGAAGACATGAGCCAATTAAGAAAACAAGGAGTAAAAAATGACCTTTAATTCTCCATACTTAAATCTGGATTTTCTGAATGAAGGGTCCAGATTTGATTATTAATGGGTGCAATTCATGATTATGCACCTTATCTTGAGCCATTTTCCATATTTAATATCCTGGCAAATTCTTTTGGTATTTAATATCCTGGCCCAAAGTAATCCTACATTTTACTAATTTGGCCAAAACCTGAGTTGACTGTTAGTTTTGACGATCAAATCATTGACTAAATGTTAACCCTCCATGTCATTGCTCAATCAACTTAAATTTAATTAAAATTGACTAGGATGTTAAATAAAGGAAAACTATTTCATGGTGGTATGCAGGATTGTAAATCACAGTTGATTATTTTTCTTTAAAAAACTAGTGAAATCCTATTTAAATTGAAGAGATACAATCCAATTCAATTGATAGAAGTAGGCCATTAAAAATTATTTGAATTTAAACCATGAGATTTGTCCAATTTTGAAACTAGATTATTAAAATCGAATAATTTTTAGGTTATGCATATGAGCCTGACCAATAGTTTTTTATCCTCATGCTCACCATATAAAGAAAAGAATTATGTTAAACAATAGAAAGAAATAAAAGAGATTAGCACAAAACAAATAGTAAAGTTATTATTTTAATAGTTTGCATGCGAGTTAGGGAAAATGACTAATGTCTAAAAAATAAAATGAGTTCCATTATGGAAAATAATTATATTGTTTTTTTTTATAAATGAGAGATGTCAAATTCGTTTCATTGATACATGTATAGTTCGGTTTTCCTCCGAGTTCTTTTTACCAATGACGCTTTCAGCCATACCAAAATAACGTGGTTAAAAAAATTGACGACCATCAATGATATTCTTACGCAAAAAAAAATTATCTTGTATTATGGTGGCAAATGACTGAACTATGTAGGTATTTTAGTAATTTTATGGTGTAGGAACATGTCACATATAAAATTATTATTTTCTAGTATATAATTATATGAGTGTATTAACACACATATTTATATTAGTACATACAAAATGTTATTTTGTTGGTGTCATTAGAAACCCAAAGAGGGTTATCATTTTATTTCTCATATTTTTTAATTTGAAATGAATATAATATAAAAATTAAATAAGTGTTGAATTTGGATAATAATTTGATTTAAGCTTTTCATTTTATTTTTCCATTTATGTTTTTCAAATATTTTCATAATTGAGTCAAAGTTCCACTGTTAAAGAAAAAAGACCATAGCCAGAGGTATGGTGTTAACCCCGTTTCATGATGTGAGTAGTAATATTGTTCTAGTTAATATCATCAAATAGATTTTGTCTCATTGGTTAAGACTATAGATGATATATCATTAAATAGAGTTTGTCCCATTGGTTAAGACTATAATGATATAATTTGAGACTCATAGGTTATAGGTTCAAGTCTAGTAATGATGACTAAGATCTCTTTATTATTTTTAGCTTACTGTAACATATAAATTTATGAGAAACCTAAATTGATAAAAAGTGACATGAAAAATTGTGGAGTTTCTTGAATCCTAGGAGGCGAAAAGTTGCTCCAAAACAGCCATAATATAAGTTATAGATAGATATAGAGAGATACGTCACATTTGACATATTCATACAACACATTTGGAGTATCCGCCACTTTGAATACGCTTCACACGTGTTGTGAATATTCGTAATATATATTGTGGATATTCTTAACAAGCATTGTGAATACTCTAATAAAATACGTGTTGAGAATATTCTTAACTTGTGTCATGAATACAAATGTTGTCATGTGAATATCATTAATGTTGTTGTCATATTATATGTGTATTATTCTTAGCATAAATAAGAAATTCAGGTTCTTGTTCCAATATGGTCATTTCTTCTTTGTGCATGGTGAGCCAAGCTTCAACTCCATTTCTAACTGGCGACTCCATCAAGACGGCCATATTTTTAACAGCATAGGTGTACTTAGTCATGCTAACCCAAGAAGGCTTTCCCCATCCAAAATCAACATCGTACAATCCCAGTCCAATCGCTGATGTTATTGTAAATGGCATCACTGTACTCCCATTTTTTGATGCTTCTGCAGCGATTGGCGACTTCCACACCATTTCCTGATTCCTCATAAACTCTTGCCTCCCATCTCCGCCTTGTAACTTTGCCATGAATTCGTTATCTATTTTCGCTACTGATCTACTCAATTCACCAACCACCTCTTGCAGCATCTTTGTCTCAACTGAAGGATGATGTTGTTGCTTGTTGTGGTAGAACGAAAGAGCATACCATATTATGTTGCCGACGGAGTAATCTGGCCATGGCTCCTTCAATCGTGGTCGGAGGTTTACCGCCATCCCTATGATCAAGATACAAAAATTGAAACTAACTTTAATTTTAATTGTAATAAAATTTATTGAACTTTTTAGAATTCGGTATAGAATATGATACTTTCCAATTTTTCTACTCTTTATTAATTCAACCTTTTATATAATGATGTTATCATGGAGAGAGAAAATTGAAATTTCTAATGGTAAATCAAGTGAATTTATGAGAAAATATAATTACCCTATGATTTTTATTTAATATCTCGAGTTATTGACACCAATTGATTTCTAATATTGTATCAAAGTCTTTTGTAATTGAGTTGCCTTATGTTCCGATATTATACCAAGAAAATAATAATAATAATAATAATAATAATAATAATCTCCCAATAATATATAGTACACTTTTGTGTACTTTTCTCCATTTCAAATTTCCTGCAACGAAAGTGAAAGTAGGAAGGACATTTTTGTCTTTAAAATTAATTATTTATCTCACAAAAAAATCAACATCAAGATTTGAACCCGAGTCTCTTCAAACATAGATAAGAATCACAACCATTTACACTGAATAAATTTGTTGTGTCTTTTTGAATACAAAATATACACGAAGTTCAACTCTCTGAAAATCGCAGGACTTTCCATCATGATTAGCAAGCCCACTAAGTATACCGTATGTATTTTTATGGTGCTTGATACTTCAATTTTCATAGTAGAGTTTCATGTAATTTTCTCAATTTTAAAATTCTTTATCTTTCCTTAATTTTTGCTAAAGGTAAATTGGTAATTGGCTAACATGGAAAATACTAATTTTTCATTACGTGTTGTGTCCTTGCATTTTTCAATTTAAATTTTGTGCTTTTTATCTTTGTTCTTATCTCTTTATAACTTCCTCGGAAATTCCCTCCATCGTACAATAGTTTGTGCCCCTTTCACTTCCCAATACAAGGCCGCCTTTGAAAATCAACCATCCGATATCTCTTGGCACGTCGGTTTTATTGTTGGGGATTTAAGTTGGGCAAGTAAAAGAGTTTAATAAATAATGGAGTTGCAGAAAGAGGATTAGAAATTGAATTTTTGGTTGAAACATATGTCTCTTTAGATAAAAATTTGGTTGTACAACGAAGAGTGGTGG